CCTGGCCTTAGGGGTCGCTCAGTGTTAGGGAGGCGGAGGCCGGCCTTCCCGCTCCCTAGGGGCTGGGCGTCTGCGCGCAGGGCCCCGCAGGCCAGTGTGTGCCCATTAGACGGGCTGGGGGTCAGCCTTCTTTCCCCTCCAGGCATCCTTGTCAAACGTGCGCTTTTTCTCAGCAGCTGCTGAGACCTGTGGTTAATTAACGAACTCAGCCCGCGGAGCCTTCTGTGTGCCAGGGACGCCTAGGAGTTGCTACCCCATCGGGGGCAGGCGGACAGGAAGACCTTGGAAGTCCAGGCCCAGAGAGTGCGGTGAGTGCAGCGTTGGGAGGGAGGAACCGCTGTGGGTACTTGGACTGGATGCCTTAGGCCAGAGGGCTTTCAGGAGATGGTGACCCATGAGCCTGAGTGGTCAGAGGAAGACTGGTTAAAGGGTCACCCGGACAGAAGAAGAGCCTGTGAGTGGGTGCAGACCTGGGCCAGTCATTCTTTGTGGCTCGGCAGTGGAGGCAGGGCGATGGGGAAGGAGCACTCTTAGGGGGTAGCTGCCCTGGATTCTGCTGGCGAGAACCCAGAGTGAGGAGACAGTGCCTGGCACTGAGTCCTCCATGTGCAAGGTGCCTAGTGAACCTTGCAGCACGGGCGCATGTCTCAGGGGATTTACATTGGTGCCTCCGTTTTGCAGGGTAGCACAGGTCAGCCCCTGACCCCCGTGTTCTAATCTGACACCTTCCAGGTAGTGTAGGAGAGGTTAAGGTCCTTTCCCAGTCGGAGACAGTTCTCGGTTGCTGTAGAATGATACCTAAGGCCTTGCTGCCCGATGTAGACTGCCTGGGGCCTCCTACAGGAGGTCCTAGGGGAAGTGACATTGTAGCTTGGGGTGTTCTCAGGTGTCCCAGACTTTGCAGAGGTCCATTGTCCACCCAAAGGCGTAGAGACATGTTCACAAGCTTCTGCACTTTCTCAGCCTGCACGCCAGCAGAGACAGCATGTTCCATGACTTGGTTCTCTGTTAAATGAACCAGTTTCCTTGTGCTTGTGCTTCAGTTGCCTCTGCAGTGTCCTGGGTGTGGTCTCTTACAGTGGCTCAGGGCCTCAGGGCCCCAGCCTCTCTGTTCTCTATCCGCTTACAGGATATTTGGGCTTTGAGTCATTTTCTTCTAAGGGCTTTCTTGTTCTCCCATGGCCAGGTATGTCCCAGCCAGTGAAGCCACAGAGCAAAGATGGAGAGAGTTGGCAGAGGGCCTCATCCCATAGATGCTGTCATACTGGACCACCCTCAGTCACTAAGAGCTCAGCAGGCAGGCATAGTGACAGCTAAGGAAGGCGTTGTGGCCAGCCGTAGGCTCTTCTACTCTGTCACAAGCTCTGCAGTCAGCTGCTTAAGAGATGCTTACTTTGCCACTGGTTTAGACTGGCTTAGTGATTCCCACTCATTCCTTGAGTACCTCTTGTGTGCTTGGCTTCTGCCTGGAGTGTGCCTGGGGCTGGGGTGAGGGAGGAGGACGAGAAGGTGGCCAAGGCATGATTCTTGCCTGTGAGTAGCTCATAAGTTGCTACAGGTTGGCAGCTGTCCCTGTGCCAGAGGAGGAGCCTGGCATGGGAGTGCTTATCAAAGACAGAGATGGCGTGGGTACTGCTCCGAGGAATGAGTGGGGTGAGGGAATCAAGGGTCGGCTTATTTCCTGGGAAAGCCTCCCCTTTTGACTGTCCTCTCACATCTGTGGGTTGACCTGAGGCTGGACGCAGGTCTTGGCCGATTTGTGGCCACGCTGGCTGACTGATAGTGTGCGGAGGGCTGGCGGGCGTGTCCCTGGCTCCTGGGATCTGTCAAGAGTTTAATTTTATGCAGATGGAGGTTGGCAGGAAATGCTGTGATGCAGGCACGTGCAAGCCCAGCAGAGTGCTGGAGTGAGAGTTCAGCTTTGAAAAAGTTGCTCAGGGCCAACAGATAACATAGCAGTTTCGTGGCTGGACTCCCACATGGCTGACTGTGGTTCGAATCCTGGACCCAGTGGCTTGAACAGTCATGCTGGCTGTGTATGTGTGTGTGCATACCCAAGATCCCCGGAGGAGAATGGAAGAGAAGGGATTGCTGCGTGGCCATCCCCTCTGGGAGGTGATTTCTCGCTTTCCTTCTCACTGTCTCTTGTGCTTGCTCTCTCTCTCCCTGGTAAGTGCACATGCCCTAAGGCAAAAACCTCTTTAAAAAAGAGAAAAAGAAAAAGTTGTTCAAATCTAGCAATTTAGACTTTTGAATTGCTAGAGGCTGGAGCATCAGCTTTTCCTAGAGCAAAGAGGGATAGTGGGCCCTGCAGTCTGTGGGTTTTTTGCCAGGGATGTGAAATGAGTGATAGATAATTTTTTTATCCTTAGAAAGAGCAGAGGAATGCAGAGTCTGGACTAGACTACTTAGAGCCTTTGAAGAGAGTTTTTTGCTTGTTTTTTTTTGTTCAGTTGGTGTCATTGCAGGGCAGAGGATTAAGTGTTTGGGTAGTGTGTTCTCCAGCTCACATGGGATCTGTCTGAGTCTGGTCACAGGCCCGATCTGCTCTAGACCTCTCAGACGTGCTTGCTAACGTGTGGCCTGCTTGTACCTGGAACGCCTGAGCCCAGGATCTGGTGGAGGCCTGGAGGCCTGGTACTTGGAGGAGCTGGACTGAGCAAGTCAGAGCTCAGAAGTACATGAGATCCCAGGGTACTGGTGCAGACCTCTGTCTTGTGCCAGATGATTTTCCTTGGTGAATTTTAGAGCCAGTGATTAACCAGCCCCTTTTCCCCCTAAGGGTTAGTATGCTGCCTGACCCCTGACTTCTGTCTCTCTGGAGCTGTCTCATTCCTTCTGGTTCTCTGGGGACAGGGTGATTGCACAGCTTCTGCCTTCTTTGCGTCTTCACTATACCCTACTTTGGACCTTCTTCCTCACTCAGGGATCAACTGACTTGGGCTAGCCAGCTGGTTACTTAAGGGCCACCGATGTTTCTCAGGGGCCCTTGGTGTTGCTGATTGGCACAGATTATGCCTGATGCTGGGCTACCTGACATCTGTCATTGCATTCAGTCCTTAGAATATCTTATGAAATGGGAGTGCTGGTATAGATATAGATAGGGACACTGAGGCTCAGAGAACTCATCCAAGGTCACAAAGCCAGGAAGTGGTGGTGGAGCTGGGATTTAACTCTGGGTCTTTCTGGTTCCAGAGCAGTCGTGCCTACCCATTGGACTGGACCACCTTACCCTGAGCTGGTTATTTGTAGTACTGGGAAGGACTGCCCACCTGGACTCAGGGCGCCATGTTGCTATCCTCCCAGTGAGGAGATCTAACCAGGGATGTCACGAACCTGCTTTGCGAACCTGTGGGGAAACCTGTGATAAAGTCCTTCACCTGGGCAGGCTGCTGTGCCAGGCTGCAGTGTGGCCCCCTGGTCGGGAGGCCTTTATGCTGCGAGGTAATAGATAGATATCCCTGAGCGGGATTGGACAGCAGCCATATCTAGCAGAAAGTGGGTTTCGGGTTTGAGTCTTAGCTCTGCTATTGATTTACGGCAGGATGTCAGGTGTCGATCAGCCTCAGTTGCCTATTTCATACTCAAAATGGAGATCATTATCTAGCTTACAGGGTTTTAGTGAGAGTTGGTAGACATGAAAGATTTTTGGAAACATCAGCAATGATTATCTTAGACTGGTTTCCCAGAAAATAGCCTGAGGCAGAGCTTCAGCGCTTAATGCTTTATTGGAAGGTGTACTTGTCGGACAGCCAGGGTGAGGGAATAGGAAAGTGAGGTAGAGAGGCTGGGAAACCAAGGTAAGGTGAGCTTTAGCCAGCTGGCCGCTGCACTGGGACGTGCTAGGTGTCGGGCCATTCAAGACATCTCAGCACAAGCTCTACAGAAACACCATGCCTCTGAGCAGTTTCTCGTGGGAGGCCTGCGGAGATTGATCTGGGGACCTCCTCTTGTCTGTCCTTCATTGGTTAGAGGTGCCTTGTGAGGGGTGATCTCTCTCACACTCACTGGCGCCACCAGGGTAGCCACCGGGAAGGGCAGTGGTACATCATTGGAGTCTGGAAGTAGTGGGAGGACCCAGAGATTCTGGCTTGGGCCTGTGCTGTCTCCTCCCTGGACTGAGGCAGAACAAGTGGCCCAGGGCCCAGGAGATGGGTGAGACCAAGAGAATATGAGGCGGTGCGTAAGATGCATCCGGTGTCGTGGCATATGGGCTTTGTCCTCATGTGTACTTCCTCTGGAGTTAGTCTCACCCCGATTGCCAAGTCTCTGCCAGGACGGAGACTGAAAACCCATCTTGACTTTTGCATATTGATTTTAATGGATTTCTCTGCTACTTCATTGGCTAGTTTCTTTTTTCTTTAAGAAAGATTTTTGTCATAGGGTGCGTGTGCTTGCTGGAGAAGAGACAGACAGGAAGCGAGAAATCAAACCCTAGGGGGATGGCCATGCTGCAGTCCCTTCTCCAGTCTCCTCTCAGGATTTTGGGCACACACACACACACATGCCTGGTATGAATTTCAAGCCTCTGGGTCAGGGATTTGAACCATGATCGGCCATGTGGGAGCCCAGTGATATAACCACCACACCATCTGTTGGCCCATATTGTCTAGTTTCTGACGCAGGGGATGGTTGTTTTGATGGCACCCAAGTGGGGAAGTGGAAATCCACATTTCACTGGATAGAGGAAGCATAAGGATAGGTGCAGCTAGACATAGAGGTTTTTCTAGGTTTTTAGTGAAGGAGAGGATGTCTCATATGAAGTAGTTAAAGATGTGAGCCATGGAGTGGTGAGATGGGGCTGGAGAGGGCAGCAGGGCCAAGTTACACAGTCAAATGGGCCCCTTGGGCTAAGGAGTTTGGACTTTATCCTGATGGCAGGGCAGAACTAAAGGAGGGGCTCTCTGCAGCCACGCTGGCCACTTTGCAGAGCAGAGGCAGGACGGAGGCCAGACAAGATGTGGAGAGGCTAGTAGGTGGGGGCCTGGAGGCTGTGGGGGGAATCGGGTGGCTCAGCCCTGGGTGAAGGCTGAGGCATGACATCAGGTAAGGGAGTAGAGTGCCCCTCATCCTTCTGAGGGTGCTGGCGGTGGCCTGAATGGACATCCACGTGCTTTGGTGCAGGGCCTCCTGGAGGCTCAGCACAGCTTCTACTAAGTTGAACAGGCAGGTCCTCTGAGCTCTGCCATCCCGGAGTTGGCATAGCATTAGGGGACAGGCCATGGCAGGAGAGTGCCAGAGCCCTGTTCAGAGAGGTTCTGCTCCTTCGCGGGAGGCAGGCAACCTCTTGTTCAGTGTCAAGCAAGACCCAGTTATTCTCAGCAAACTCATGTTCTGTGTCTAGGCTGTTAAATACATTGTTAAAACTCAAGCTGTTGCAGTCGTGTTGCAGCTGGGAGCTTGGCAGCAGGTCCTGCCTGATGAGGTAAGGGGAGAAGCTAAGGACGCTGTTGGTTTGCAGCTGGAAACATCTTTTCATGGCCATTTGGCCGGGTTATAAATGTCCTATAAATGTCCTTTCCAAAGAGCAGGCATGGCGGGGCCTCCGGTTGTATGTCTTGGAATTGCCCTGTGTTTGGAAACAGTGCCAGTCACCTGGTGGGTGAATCACTGTCGCTGGGGCTTTGGCAGTTCCTGCAGGACCTCCCTGTGGCAGTGCAAACTCGGGGGCTGCCAGCACCCCTTTGGAGTCTACTTGAGAAGGCCTTGCTTTGTTTCCTTCACATTGTTTCCTTCACTGCACATGTACAATATTTTTTCAAATTTCTACAGAATTCCATGCTGAAAGATTAGGAAAACAAGCAAAAAAAGAAAAATTACTTTATGAAGCTACAACTAGATGCAAATATATTCCCTCCCCTACACACAAATATATATGCACACACACTGATTTTCCTTACGAAAATGGAATCATAGCGTTCATATAGTTCAGGACCTGCTTTTCTCACTTAACAGTATCCTTTGATGGCTCTAGATTTATATACATACCGTATTCATTTTTATATAGTCTATAGCAATCCATTTTATGGAAGAAATGTCAGATCTTCCATCGTAGTTTCCAAGTTGGGACAAGCCTGTGATGAAGTATGACTTGTTGTGAGTCTGATGCAGGATAGGTACTGTTCTAAACTCAGGTTGAAGTTGGTTTCCTGCTCGGGCATGGTGCCCCCTTTGTTTTTCATAAAAAGGGATTTGGCATTGCCCAGTTCCAGGCTGTTCTACATGGATATTTGAGGGTTCCTGGCAGCACTGGCTGTTTTGTGAGGTCCCTGGACAGACACATACTCCTTCTTCTGTCCTAAGCAAGCTCTAGGTGAGGTATGAGAGGGGTGGGCTTGACCTTTCCACCTCGTAGGGCAGGGTCCCTTAGGATGCTGCCTCCTGGTGCCTTGACCCAAACTCTTCATACATGACCTTTAGTGAAAGCTGTTGAGTTCCAGGGTGCAGGATCAGGAGAAATGGAGGGCCCTTGTGGGGCTAGCAGTGTTGATGAGAGCGGTGCTTACTCACGTGGTGGTCTTGGGAGTGTTAGGAAGTGCCCTGTTCTTGGTCCAGCAGAGCTGTCATCCCCCTTTCCTCACAGAGCAGGACTTCATAGGCTCTTGGTAAGTCATGTCCCCAGACCCCATCCGTGATACTTTGAGGCTCTGCCTCCAGGCCAGTCTAAGCCATTCAGCACATTCCAGGGCAATGACAGCTTGTGTGTATGTAATGAAGAAACAGGCTGCTTCTCCTGAGTGTGTCAGGTGCAAACCGTGAATCGTGTCAGCAGGGTGATTCGAAAGGCATGGAGAGGCTTCCCCCTCTCCTGAGTTTGTGGCCTGGACTCTGAAGAGATGTGCAGCTGTGACTGGTGGCACACCTGGGGACAAATGCTGAGGCCCTCCACTCCCAGCCGTGTCTAGTCTCTTGCCTGGCCCTGCTGTCCTGTGATCCAGCCCTGAGGGCCAGTTGGCCTCGTCTCTCACTGTCCACAGATACATCCTTCTAGCTCTGCTTTTTTAAAACAATAATTATTTATTTAATTTATTATTATTATTGCTAATTTTGCTATAGGGCACATGTGCTCCTGGGAGGTGGGGGGTAAGAAAGCAAGCCACCAGATCCAGGACTCAAACCGTGGTTAGTCATGTGGGAATCCAGTGCCTTACCCATCACACCACCTATCAGGACCCCAGCTCTGGGTTTTTAATATCCCCTTCCTGCACATACATAAAAGGTGCTCTCCTGAGCTGCTCAAGCCTCTTGAGGTACCAGTTCCACATACCCAACCCCTTAAGTGAAGGGGCTTAGGAAAACCAGCAGAGAGGCCTTCTGGAATCCTGGGATGGAGAAGATGATGGTATAGGGAGGCCTGGGAGCAGACCTGTGGATGGAGCTGCAAGGACCCAGGCTCTGCCCCAGGGCTAGCACAGGCCTACTCACCTTCCCAGTGGCCTGCTCTCTGCTGTGCTGCTGCCACCTAAACTCCACAGTGGACCCTTTAACCCATACTGCTACCCCGCAGCAGGTTCTAGGCTGAAAGATGATTGTCCTCCCTGGGGACCAGCAGGTGGCATAGTGGCTAAGGCTCTGGACTCTCACAGGGCCAGTCATGGTTCAAGTCCTAGACCTGGTCAGTGGCTGGAAAAATCTCAGGAGGAGAATGGAGGAGAAGGGATTGCAGCATGGTCATCCCCTCTAGGGAGTGATTTCTCATTTTCCCTCTTACTGTCTCTTTTTGTCCCTCTCAGGTGAGCATATGTGCCTTATGGCAGAAACTTTCTTTCTTTTTTTTTTTTTTTAAATGTCCTGCATGTCTTTGGGCCCCCAGCACCTAGGCTGTGATGACATGCCATGCACTCTGCAGACACTAGTAGGGGTGTGAACAAATATGGGGCCATTCACTTGTTCTTCCTCTTTCTGTTACAGGAGCTCATGTGGGGATTGAGGGTTGTGGTTGACCTTTTCTGAGCTTAACGTAGAACCACAGTGGATTGGGATTTCTCCTGAGAGGGTGACATGTGGAATGGTGGGTGTGACTGTGTGTCTCCTCGGCCATGCCAGGCAGGACATTGACGAACCAGCTTAAGTCAGCTCTGATTCAGAGCTCTGCCCCATAAGGTTTACGTGTTGGGGGAAGCATTTATACGTCCCTTATTTCCCCTGTATTCTTTGAGTAGGTTTTTTTGAGAACTCCAGTGGGTCCTGGTGGAAGCAGACAGGAAGGAAAAGGTCTGGCAGGGCTGGGGCTCAGGTGGGGGCTGGTCATTCAGCACACTGTGGGCTGTGTGGCTGAGCTAGATGAGGTCTGAAGCTTCTGCTGTGTGCCCAGGTCCACTGCCAGTGGGCTTTGCTGCAGGTCCTCCCTGCTGGCTCTAAACTATTCCTAGGCTGGCGAGAAGACAGCAGCTGGCTTTTTCCCCATGTCAGCAGCCCAGCCCAACGTTTTGGCAGTGTGACTGATGGATGTCTGTGTCCTGAGTGCCTAGCTTGGTGCCTGGCGTCTCTGGGTCTTTTGCAAATATTTGTGAATGAATGGTGACTGGCCAGTGAGGACAGTCTGCCAAGCAGCCGCACTACAGGGAGAGCAGTGTCTGGCCAGGAGTGCCACTCCCCTGACCGTGCTCTGGGGCAGGTGCAGGCTGAGCAGGATCAGTTTTATCCTTTTTTTGGCTGATTCCTTTCTTACGGTAGATCCCTTTGAGTATATGGTATCAAGTTTCTTTCAGCCTCCTCATGGGCAGGTCTGGGTCCCTAGCACCTCGTGCTGTCTTGGCACATGTGTTGGTAAGACAGAAACAGATGTGCAAGGGTGGGCTGGACTCTTGAACTGGCAGAGGATTCGAACTAGAGGTGGCTGCACCCGCTGTGATTCAGTTTTCTCATGTTGCTGGAGGATGCCGGGAGTTGAGGGGCACTGGACCTCCCAGGGCAGAAGCCAGCACTAGGTACACTTCACTGTCACTGGCTCATGTCGCACCCTCTGCCCTTCTCACCGGTGATCCTGAATGTCCTTCTTAGCTTCCGTGTGTGAGGCCCATGTTTGGCATGTGTGTTTGTGTGCACGTGTGTGTGTGTCCTCACCTCAGTTGCTCTCTCTCCACGTTGACCCCGTGAATGTCACTGAATGCCTTACAGATACTCCTCCTCTCTGTGACCATGAGACTCCGGGTGTCTGCGTTGCTGGTGACCTGGCTTGGCGTCCTGAGCTGTGTGGGGGCCGAGTTCTTCACCTCCATTGGTATGTGCAGACAGGATTGTTGTCTCCGTGAGGAGCCATTGGCTCACGTGGCAGGCGATGTCATGGCTGAGGCCTGTTCTCATCCAGGCAGGATGGCCTCATCTTGCTGTGTTCCCTTCTGCAGTCCTGATGATCTGGTTTCCTGGGAACCAGCTGTCTAAATTAGGCCCTCCTCCCTGGGGAGCGCAGGATGCACTTGGCTCTCTGGCATTTCTGAACACCTTACCCCAGGACCAGACGGTGGGTCTGAGCAGTGAGCACTCTCTGTTCTGAAGATCCTCCTTCTGATTTGAAATCTCAAAGCTTCTATCCATGTGAGGAGTCCCCAGGACGCCCCAGTGACATGACCATCAGGGTAACAGTGGGAGGATGAGATTCGAGGCTTCCCCTTGAGTAGCCCTCAGTGCACTTTTCTTATCTCTATGGCACTGTTGCCTCTCTCATCTTGCAGTTAGGGGTCAGGACCATGTGACCTCCTTTAACTCTGAGTCCCCATGATCCCCGAGAGCTGGCATGCCTGTGGCCCAGGGGCTGCCTGCTGTGCTCGTGTTCTGTGCCCCAAGGAAGGGGCTGAACATCCCTCATCCGTCTCTCACTAGCCCCTGGTTTTCTCCCTTGTAGGACACATGACTGATCTGATTTATGCGGAGAAAGACCTGGTGCAGTCTCTGAAGGAGTACATCCTTGTGGAGGAAGCCAAGCTCTCCAAGATTAAGAGGTGTCTGATGTCCTAAGCCCCACCCCCGCCCTGAGTCAGTCCTCCTGGACCCTCTGCCCTCAGCATCCACGCAGGTGCCTGCAGGAGGTAACCCCTGAGAGAGGGACGTGAGGCTGGCCCAGAAGTGACTCCATGCCAGTCCTCCAGAGTAGCTAAGTACACAGGCTAAGGAATCATGGTTTGCCCTTTCTAAGACATTTTTGCTTACATCAGAGTTTCCAGCTTTTATCTAAATTAAGGGGCTGGAAGTATCTGTGGGAAATTCATATCTTCCTTTTTATAGAGAGATTTTTGCTATGGGGCACATATGCTTGCCAGAGAGACAGAAAGGGAGAAATCACCCCCCAGGGTGGATGACCATGCTGCAATCCCTTCTCCTCCATTCTCCTCTCGGGATCTTGGGGATACTCGCACACATGCCTGCCATCAGTTTCAAGCCACCAGGTCCCAGACTTGAACTGTGGTCGACTATGTGAGAGTCCAGTGACATAACTATTAGGTTGCCTACTGATCACTATATTTTCATTTTGTTCTTTTTCTTTCTATCTTTTTTTTTTTTTTTTAAGAGAGATTTTTGCTATAGGCCATGTGTACTCACTGGAAAGACAGAAAGCAAGATATCATCCCCTGGCGGGGGATGGCCATGCCACAGTCCCCTTCTCCATTCTCCTCTTGGGATTTTGGGCACACATGGACATGTGCCTGGCATGAGTTTTAAGCTGCCGGGTCTGGGACTTGAACCACAGTTAACTACATGGGAGTTCAGTGACACAATCATTATGTCATTTGCTGGTCCCTGTGTCTTCATTTTTTTTATTACGTCTTGATGAAAAGAGTGCTAGATCTCACCAGGGAAGTTACCACAGGTCAAGGTCTGTGTGGGTGGGCATGTTGGCATTCCTTTTTGTCTGATTCCACAGCTGGGCCAGCAAGATGGAAGCCCTGACCAGCAAGTCTGCTGCTGACCCCGAAGGATACCTGGCCCACCCTGTGAATGCCTACAAACTAGTGAAGCGGCTGAACACAGACTGGCCTGCCCTGGAGGACCTGGTCCTGCAGGACGCAGCTGCAGGTGAGGCCGTGAGCAGGGGCTTGGGTGAACCCGTACATCTGTGTGCTCACGTCTGGGCAATTGTGTCAGCCCATACATTTGTGTGCTCACACCTAGGCAGTTGTGTCAGCCCGCACATTTGTGTGCTCATGCCTGGGCGGTCGTGTCAGCCTGCACATTTGTGTGCTCATGCCTGGGTGATCATATCAGCTCACACATTTGTGTGCTCACACCTGGGCGGTCGTGTCAGCCCGCACATTTGTGTACTCACGCCTGGGCGGTCGTGTCAGCCCGCACATTTGTGGCTCACACCTGGGCGATTGTGTCAGCCCGCACGTTTGTGTGCTCACACCTGGGTGGTTGTTTCAGCCCACACATTTGTGTGCTCATGCCTGGGCAGTCATGTTGGTGGGAGAGTGCAACATGTGAATGTGGACCCTGCCAGGCCTGTGACCATCTCCCTTCTCTGTGGGGATCAGACAATGGGCCATCCTTGTTTTTACCATGTAATAATCAAATCTTACCCTTTTGTAGTGTATTTTCTCCTTTTTATTTTTATAGAGACAATTTCCTACATATCCTTTAGTAATCCATATTTTTATAGAGAAATTGGAAAATAGTCACATGAGAAAATTGCAATTCTTAATGCAGTGATCTAGTGATAAACAGTCCTAAAGTTAGAGTCTTTCTATACATGTGTATACCTTTTTTTTTGTTTTTTAAGGTTTTTGCCATAGGACGTGTGCTTGCCAAAGAGAGACAGTGAGAGGTAAAATGAGAAATCATCCCCTAGGGGGGTGGCCATGCCATAATCTCTTGTCCTCTATTCTCCTCCTAGTATTTTGGGCATGTTCACACATGTGCCTGGCATTATTTTCAAGCCACCAGGTCCAGGACTTGAACCATGGTTGACCACATGGGAGTCCAGCACCTTAACCACTATGCCACATGCTGACTCCCACCTGTGCATGTTTTTAAAAAATAGAACCATACATAGGTACCAAGAGAGGAAAACTCATATGCTCGAGGGACACATGAGTGAGCAAAACTGAGTCCAGTGGGTCGGGTGGTGGGATGAAGGCAAACTGGGGAGCACAGTCTCATCTCAGTTCATTTCTGTTCCTATCATTTGCATATTTACTGTGAATCTGTGGCATCAGCAGAGACTGTTTTCCTGACTCTCCTAGCTTCTCTGTATGTATGTTGTGTTCTGCCACAAATTTTTCTTTAAGAGAAAGTAAGAAGGCACCCCCCCCCCCGCCAGGCCCTCCCTGACGGGAGTGACCACACTGAAGTTCCTTCTCTCTATTCTCCTCTTGGGATTTTGGTCATGCATGCACACGCACCCAGTGTGTTTTTCAAGCCATTGGGTCTGGAACTTGAACTGTGCAGATCACCACGTGGGATCTGGCTGCCTTAACCTCCATGCCACCTGGCTGGCCCACTGCAACATAATTTTAATGTCTGGACAATAGTCTGTTATAACTGATATAAAACTGGTTAAGTTAGTGGATGTGGAATAGTTTCCAGATTATCAGCGGTCATATATATATACATATATATGATGTATATGAATGTTTTTCATTGTGCTTCGTACTTCTATGGATAGTACTTTCTATGCACTAACACTTTTCCATCAACAAGGGGAGATAGTGGGGTGGATGGGCTAGAGGTGGTCCCTCCTGACTCCCAGCCCCTGGCTCCACCTCCTGGACTGCTGCCTCTTTTCCCTGAGCTGGAGTGCTGATTAACTTCAGAGCAGCTGTCTCTCTGGCTGAGATGTTTCAGCCCCTGTGGCCAGACAGGGTTGGGCTTGGCTGGAGGCAGAGTAGGGGAGGGATTGGTGAGCTCAGCCGGGCTGGAGCCATGCCCAGGGAGCTCCCTGCCTCTAGACTGCAATAATCACAGCAGAAGAATCATTGCTTTTAAGCATGTGTTACTACTGCTTTGTTTTCTTATTTATTTTATTTTGTGTGATTTGTCATACTCTTTTTTCTCCAGCATTACTGAAGTATAGTAAAGAAAAAAAAATTGTATACATTTAAGATATCCAGTGATATCTATATCGATCTAGAGACATAGAAATAGATATAAAGAGCGAGATGTGAAATGCTTACTACCATCTAGCTAATTAACATTCATAAGCTCACATAATTATATGTGTGTATATGTGGTGAGAACATTTAAGATCTACTGTTTTAGCAAATTTCAAGTACTTGATACAATAGACTATGTTGACTATGCAATGTATTTAGATCCCTGGAACTTATTCCCCCTACATAACTGGAGCTTTTAACTATTTGACGAATATCTCCCCATTTCCCCCTAATCAACCACTCATAATCGCCATTACACTGTCTGTCAAATGAATTAGACTCAGATTTCACCTATGAGATCATACAGTATTTTATTTCTGTGCACGAATTTTTTCAGTTAACAGACCATCTTCCAGTTTCATCCATATAATTTGCAGATGGCAAAATTTTTCTCTCTTTTTTTTAAGGCTGAATAACATTGTAGTGTGTATAGGTGTATATCAATTTTAGATCCATTTTACTTTTTTTTTCTTTTTTTTTTTTGCTATACGGCGCGTGTGCTCACCAGACAAACAGAGACAGAGAGACAGAAACCGAGAAATCACCCCCTAGAGGGAATGGCCACGCTGTAATCCTCTCTCCTCCATTCTCCTCTCAGGATCCTGGGCACACACGCACATGCGCCCGGCGTGAGTTTAAGCCACCGGGTCCGGGACACGAACCGCAGTCATCTATGTGGGAGTCCAGCAACATAGCCATTACGCTAACTGCTGGTCCCATCCATTTTACTATTAATGGACATTTAGATTGATTCCATAACTTGGCTATTGTGAATGATGCTGCAATAAATACAAGAGCTCAGATATCTGTTTAAGGTGCTAATATTATTTCCTTTGGATATACATTCAGAAAAAGAATTGCCGAGTTAATTTTTTTTAACTTTATTTGAATTTTACCAGAGAGGGACAGAGTGAGAAAAAGAGAGAGAATAAGAGACAGAGAGGGAATGTGAGAAAGCAAGCCGCCAGATCAGGACTCAAACCGTGGTTGGCCATGTGGGAGTCCAGTGCCCTTAACCACCACACTGCCTGCTGGCCCCATTTTATACATTTTTAAAGCAACCTTCATGTTGCTTTCCACATGGCTAAAACAATCCACATTCCCCCAACAGTGTAAAAGGAATCCCTTTTCTCCACATTCTCACCAACGCTTGCTATCCTTTGTGTTTTTGCTAATAGTCATGATAACAAATGTGAGATGATGCCTTATATTGGTTTCAATTTGAATTTCCCTGATGATTAGTGATGCTGAAAATTTTTTCATGTACCTGTTAGCCATTCGTATGTATTCCTTGGAGAAAAGTTTATTCAGGTCTGTGCATTTTAAATATTTGTTTTCTTGATACTGAAACTTATTTTCCTATGTATTTGGGATATTGACTTGGAGGAGGTGCTTGGGGCCTCTGTTCATAGGGACTAACTTCGCACTGGGGTGTCTTGAGTTTAGTCTATAAGGGCTGCATGGTGCTGGGGTTCACCACAGTTGACCTGGTATCGAGGTCCATGGTGAAATTTGGTACTTACTTTACTCTCCTTCTCCCTTGCAAAGGGCATCTGTCTCCTGACTACACTGCTGGGACCTGGGAGAGAGTTGAAGTAGGTGATCATGAAACTGTCCTCCCTATACTCATTAGCACATCTTTTATTATTTCTGGGCTCCACTCAAATGTCATCTCTCACCTGTATTCCTTAGCTCTTAAGAAGATATTTCTGGGACCAGCAGTTAGCGTAATGACTATGTCGCATGTAGTCAACCGCGGTTCACGTCCCGGACCCGGTGGCTTAAAACTGACGCCAGGCACATGTGCGTGTTTGCCCAAGATCCCGAGAGGAGAATGGAGGAGAAGGGATTGTGGCGTGGCCATTCCTCTGAGGGATGATTTCTCGCTTTCTGTCTCTCTGGGTCCTTCTGGCAAGCACATGCGCCCTATAGCAAAAATCTCACACACACACACACAAAAAAAAAAAGAAAGAAAGAAAAGAAGATATTTATGTTTGTGGATGGTTGTTCTGTGAGGAGAAAAATACTGCACATTTCTATTTACCATGCTGCCTATGTCACTTCCTATTTTGGGTACATTTTGAAAAAAGCTTGAGAGCTACTCACAGATTTTTAAATTTTTACTTTCTGGTTTTCAAGAACTTTGACAGACCTTCAAGGCTCTCTACTGTCAAGTGGCATCCTCAAATAACTAGGTTCAATTATTTTACTCGTTCTTTTCTTTCCTTTTTTTTTGTTTTTTAAGGTTTTTGCCATAGGACGTGTGCTTGCCAAAGAGAGACAGTGAGAGGTAAAATGAGAAATCATCCCCTAGGGGGGTGGCCATGCCATAATCTCTTGTCCTCTATTCTCCTCCTAGTATTTTGGGCATGTTCACACATGTGCCTGGCATTATTTTCAAGCCACCAGGTCCAGGACTTGAACCATGGTTGACCACATGGGAGTCCAGCACCTTAACCACTATGCCACATGCTGACTCCCACCTGTGCATGTTTTTAAAAAATAGAACCATACATAGGTACCAAGAGAGGAAAACTCATATGCTCGAGGGACACATGAGTGAGCAAAACTGAGTCCAGTGGGTCGGGTGGTGGGATGAAGGCAAACTGGGGAGCACAGTCTCATCTCAGTTCATTTCTGTTCCTATCATTTGCATATTTACTGTGAATCTGTGGCATCAGCAGAGACTGTTTTCCTGACTCTCCTAGCTTCTCTGTATGTATGTTGTGTTCTGCCACAAATTTTTCTTTAAGAGAAAGTAAGAAGGCACCCCCCCCCCCCGCCAGGCCCTCCCTGACGGGAGTGACCACACTGAAGTTCCTTCTCTCTATTCTCCTCTTGGGATTTTGGTCATGCATGCACACGCACCCAGTGTGTTTTTCAAGCCATTGGGTCTGGAACTTGAACTGTGCAGATCACCACGTGGGATCTGGCTGCCTTAACCTCCATGCCACCTGGCTGGCCCACTGCAACATAATTTTAATGTCTGGACAATAGTCTGTTATAACTGATATAAAACTGGTTAAGTTAGTGGATGTGGAATAGTTTCCAGATTATCAGCGGTCATATATATATACATATATATGATGTATATGAATGTTTTTCATTGTGCTTCGTACTTCTATGGATAGTACTTTCTATGCACTAACACTTTTCCATCAACAAGGGGAGATAGTGGGGTGGATGGGCTAGAGGTGGTCCCTCCTGACTCCCAGCCCCTGGCTCCACCTCCTGGACTGCTGCCTCTTTTCCCTGAGCTGGAGTGCTGATTAACTTCAGAGCAGCTGTCTCTCTGGCTGAGATGTTTCAGCCCCTGTGGCCAGACAGGGTTGGGCTTGGCTGGAGGCAGAGTAGGGGAGGGATTGGTGAGCTCAGCCGGGCTGGAGCCATGCCCAGTGAGCTCACTGCCTCCAGAAACCACAGCTGCCTTTCCCAGAGTCTGCCTCCCAGCCTGGGCCTGTACTTGAGAACAGGCTGTTCTGCGTGCACTGCAGGAGACCAAGTCTGCATAGATGACCTCCGCTCTCTGATCTTGTTTTCCGCCACTCCCCACTGTCCACATCTGGCCCCATTGGGGAACCGTATAATTACCTAGAAGGGGCTAGGATAAGCCCACAGAGCAATAGGTTGTTTTCATCTCTCACTTTGAATTCTTGCCCTTGAAGTAAGGGGGGCATACCAACAGTGGCTTTTTCTGGGGGTGTGTTTTCTTTATCCTGGATTCTGAACTCTTTAGAGTCTCCAACCATGCAACCATGAAAGGAGAAAAGGTTGTAGCTTCTTCATCCCTGTGTCCCCAGGCATGGCTAGAACAGGCGTTAGAGTCTGAAGTAGGTGGGAGTAGGTGGCAGAGGGCTCTGCTGCTCTTGGGGAGAGGCTGGGGAGATAATGGTCTTAGAGTTCTCTTCCCATTTCTCAGCTTTGAGGCAGGATTGCAGGCCTTAAATCAGAATGGCGGGCATGGCTCCCAGCTAGAGTCCTGGGGTTGTAGGGAGTGCATGTCTCACTTTATAGCTGGGCTTGGGACCCCAGAAAAGCCTCCTTGGGGCCCTTCTGTGGCCAAGAGCTCTCCCTGGCTCCAGGCTGTGGTCTTGAGCACCACAACTGGGGAGCCTGACCCTTAGCTCATTGCAGGTCTGAATGGCAGGAATATCCTGCAGAGCAGAAAAGGCCTGCGGGGCGTGCTGGGCTAGCGCAGCCCTCCTTGGCGCTTGGTCTGACCCGATGGTCCGTTGGGTGGAAATTCCAGGACTGTCGTTATCGCCTTGTGAATGATAAGGGCAGCGGTCAATTGTGAACGGCCAGCTGGGCTCCATGCGTGGGCTCCCTTTGTCCCTTGGACTCCTTAATCTGAGGCGTGGGCTATAAGTCCAGTGCCTAATCAGCCCAGGAATCCTGGATTAAGGTTTTCCATGGCATCCATTTCTCACTGGGTGTTTGAAAAGCACTCCCTGAGTCTTTCCCCGTGCTCCTGTCAGTGACCCTTTCTGTCCCCTGTTCTTTCTGTCTTTACCTGGTTTGAGTGTATCAGAGCCAAGACTCCTAGACTGCCAAGGTCTACGCAGTGTGGGGCCACTTCGGTTCAGTTCCAGATGAGCAGCACAGGCATAGAGGAGTAAGAAAGAAGTCCCAGTGGGCCGGAGCCAGCAGGGAGGACTTCCTGGTAGAAGGGGAAACAGCCCTTTTTTTTTCTTTTTTGGAGACGTTTTTGCTATAGGGCGTGTGTGCTCGCCAGACAGACAGAGAGAGACAGAGAGATAGAAAGCGAGAAATCACACCCCCGGGGGGATGGTCACACTGCAATCCCTTCTCCTCCATTCTCCTCTCGGGATCTTGGGCACACACGCACACGTGCTCGGTGTGAGTTTAAGCCACCGGGTCCAGGACTCCAACCGCGGTCGACTACGTGGGAGTCCAGCGACATAGCCATTACGCTAACTGCTGGTCCCAGAAGGGGAAACAGCCTTTGAAGGAAGGGGCAGGGAGATTCTGCTAGCCAGAACCCTCCACTGGATGCCTGTCTGGTCTCAGGTGGAATTTGCCCCCTGGTTTGAGGGTAACCTCTCTTCTCACTCTCTTTCGGAAGGCTTTATCGCCAACTTGTCAGTACAGCGACAGTTCTTTCCCACTGACGAGGATGAGACAGGAGCGGCCAAAGCCCTGATGAGACTGCAGGACACGTACAAGTTGGACCCGGATACCATTTCCAGAGGGGAACTTCCAGGTAACCTGCCACTGCCAGCTTTCTCTGTCTGCCAGGTGTCCTCGGTGGCTGGATGGCCACCACAAACGGGTCTCTACCCTCAGGCACACTGTCACCTCTGCTGGTGCTCCTCTTTTAGGTCCCCAGTCAATGCCAGTCTCCCTTTCCCATAGCAGCTGCCTCCGCTCTGTCTCTGGCCCGCCATGTCCCCCGTGAGTTAGCTGAGGCCCTCTCCTCTTGCGTCTCAGAGAAAGCCAAAGCTGCTGCTCAGACCCCTTGGCCTCTGCCCCCAGAGCACCCCACAGATCTGCATTCAGACCCACGTCCACCCCACCCGCTGTTTCTTCTTCAAGGCTGATGACTAGACTCAGCCTGTCCTGCGTGCCTTCAGTCAGTCTCTGCCCCTGCTCACTCTGCCTCATCTCTCCCTGTACTCACTGTTGTACCAACCCTGCCTTCAGGGTCCAAGGCTCTTTGGCCGTCCCTGGAGCTGATCTTCCTCTTCTCCCCTCCTGGTGGGGCAGCTGTACAGAGTGGTCTACACCTTTCCTCTTCTTTCTTGATTGCCGCGTGCTCCTGGACTCACGGCACCTGGCTTTTCCCCCAGTGCCTGCTGGTTTTACTCTTGCACAGTCACCAGTAGCCGCTCCGCTGGTGAAGCCCGTACATGGGTTCAAGCATGCTTTTAACCTGTTCGCACACATTGAGTGCCCATTTTTTTTCCCCTGATATTCTCTCCTGACTTGAATTCTGGTTTACTAATCTCTGTTTCTTCTCTGGTCATTTATGTCCATTCGTTAATATCTTTTCTCTCTCTTTCTCTCTCCCTCTTTCACTGACCCTTCCTACTGACTGCCTCAGTATTAGTGTTGATGAGAAGACACATTGAGTTGTGGGGACTCTTAGAGACCAAAAAACGCAGGCATTTAGTTAGACCTCATCAGACCCTGAAGAAGACCTGGTCATTAATGTCCATTCGTTAATATCTTTTCTCTCTCTCTCCCCCTCTTTCACTGACCCTTCCTACTGACTGCCTCAGTATTAGTGTTGATGAGAAGACACATTGAGTTGTGGGGACTCTTAGAGACCAAAAAACACAGGCATTTAGTTAGACCTCATCAGACCCTGAAGAAGACACAAGCTGAGGGGTGCTTGATGTATGGAAGAAGGAGATGCTCTGTTATCGGCTGGTCAAGGCCTGGGCCTTGGTACTAAGGAGTCCAAAGAGCCAACAGGAAGGGCTATGAGTTCTCCTTACTTTTGCTTCAGTCAGGTCTTGCCCCAAGCCAGAGAGAAAGCAGCTCAGGGCACCCGCGAAATCTGTTCACTCCATGGCTGTGAGATTGGTTGGGGGGAGAAGGAAACCACACCCTGCATAGACTTCCACTGTGAACAGTCCATGTATTCGTGAGTGGCATGGGGGTGGGAGGGAGTGACTTCCCAGGATTACCCCTACCTCATGTTCTCTGTAAGCACCTTCCCAGGTGAGCCCAGCTAGTCCCACTCCAGCCCCAGGGACTCCAGAAGAGCCTTGGACCCTGCAGGCGGGGTTGGTCTGACAGTGTACCCTCTACACGGACGGCATCCAGATCTGTTTCTCCTGCCATGGCTGGTTCTGAGTTTCCAACCAAATGGAGGCAGATGCCTGGCGGACATCTCTACCTGGATGTCCCAGGACTCCTCACCCTTCCTGTGTCCCAAACTGAAATCCTTATCCCCTTTTGAACTGTTTACCTCCTGCCCTCATCCCTTTTCTCAGCAAAATATACTTCTACCCACTGACTGCCCAAGCCAGAATCCAATGGCCACTGGAGTCTTCCTCCCTAATGGCATCTGTGCTTGTCTCCTGACTCCAGTTCTATGACCATGTTTTTCTCAACTGGATCAGTAAAATACTGTTCTGACTTCTGTCCAGCTTACTCCTTCAGCTTCAAACCACCCTCTGTGTGATCTTACGCACACATCTGTTCACACAAGTTCTTGATCACAATGCTTAAAACCACTTTTAAGGCTAAACCTACCCTCCTCCTATGTCTTTGAGGTCCTGCGTGATCCTGTGTTCCGGGCCTTCTCAGCCTTGCTCTCAGCTTCCCTATTGAACAGCTCCTTTGTTTATCCACTCCCTCTGCAGGAACCCCCAGCTGGGCTGTTCCGTGCCCGCTTGACCAACATAGCACTCAGGTCAGCTGTCTCTCTCCGGGGAATGCTCTGCATGGGCTAGACGTTTGATTTGGCTTCTGGAAAGGATAGTGAGTGCCTGGGAGCCATTCTTAACATTCTTTGCATCTCTGGGACATGTTGATAATAGCTACTGGTCATTAGCATCCTGGGATCACAGGAGACATCTTCCTACGTAATCTCATTGAGTTCTTCGCACAAGCCTCTTTTTTGTTTGTTTGTTTTGAAAAGGTTTTTGCTATAGGGCGCATGTGCTTGCCAGAAAGACAGAGACAGAGAGACAGAAAGTGAGAAATCACCCCCCGGTGGGGGGATGGCCATTCTGCAATCCCTTCTCCTCCATTCTCCTCTCAGGATCTTGGGCACAAATGCACACACGCCCAGTGTGAGTTTAAGCCACCAGGTCTGGGACTCGGACCATGGTCGACTGCTTGGGAGTCCAGCAATATAACCATTACACCATCTGCTGGTCCCCAAGCCTTTTTTTTTTTTTAATAATTATTTAAAGTTTATTTCTTTATTTTAATTTGATCAGAGAGGGACAGAGTAAGAAAGCAAGAGAGAGAGAGAGAGAAAGCAAGTCTCTAGGTCCGGCACTCAAACCGCAGTTGACCACATGGGCGTCCACCACCCTTAATCACCACACTACCTGCCAGCCCTAGGCACAAGCCTTTCAAAGTTGATGGTATTGTCTTCATTTACAGGTAAGGGGACTGAGGCTTAGGGAGGCTAGGCATCTTGTCCATGGTCACCCAGCTCAGGGATGCCTTAGTGAGGCCTGTGCAGACCCACCTTCCCCAGCTCCAGAGCCCCAGCTCTCTCCGCTGCCTCCATTAGGGCAGGTGCCTGGGTCTGCAGAGCCGGAGAGCTGTGGAGGCTCACAGAGAGGCCCCAGAACCCTCATAACTTCTGACCTGCCTTGTTTACTCTCCCAACTTCCTGTCCCACATTGCCAGATCCTGAGTCACCAGGAAGAGTGCACTCTGGTCTCTGAAGTAGCCCACTCACTGTAGTAGGGGGTTCATTCTAGGCAGAGGCCCATCTTGGATATCAGGCAGGAGTCCACTTTGAGGTACTTCTTTGTTGCCAACTGTGACCATATTGCTGTTAGCAGAGCTGTGGAAGACTCCCTGACTTTGCAGGGAGGCTCACAGCCCACCCTTGTTCTCCATGTGATCTGTTTTCTCTTGGTTTTCTAAAGGACACAACACAGTGCTTCCTGTAGTGAGCCCATAAATGTTGCATCTTCCTAGCTGCGGCTTATTGTCTCAAAACTGTCTTTATGGTCACCGTCGAGCATTCAGCCTGGGGCAGATGACCCACAGAGCTGCCTTAGTATCTGCTCATTCAAGCCCACATGGAAATAGTCTTTGTACAGAGGCGCTGAGGTCCCTGCTATCTCATGGTCAAAGCTGGTACCGCAGCTCTTGCTTGGCCTCCCTTGGCGTCTGTCCCCTTGCTCCTGCTCTTGCTCCCTTTGGTATTCACTCTGTGTTTTCTGGGCAGGTGACCCCTGGAATTCTGGACTCAGCCACCTTCTTCACTCTTCCCTCAGCCTCTTCCTGTAAGCAGTTATCCACATGCATTGTTTACTGCCACTAAATTCTGTTTCTTATGCCTCCTTAAGTTTTCTGTTTTCCAGACCCACATGGCCAGCTGCCCACTGCACACCTGTGTGGCACACAGGACCTTCATACTGTCCTCCACACTTCTTAGTGGGCTTCCTGGGCTCCCTCCTAGGGAGGCCCTTCCCACCTGGGAGAAGGGGAGTTGAGGCTAGGAGGTGGCCTGTGAAGCCCAGCCAGGGCGGGGTCAGCCTGTCAGTGCTCACTGTATCAATGGCACTTTATAGTGTGTGGTCTGAAGACCTGTGAGGTTCTGCTGGGACAGTGGCCACTGTGCAGTGGCCCAGGCTTTTCCTAAGTGGGAACCTTCCCTTCCTGACCCAGTGGCTCCTAGGAGCCTGACTGCTTCTCCTGCCACAGGAACTAAGTACCAGGCGGTGCTGAGTGTAGATGACTGCTTTGGGATGGGCCGTTCAGCCTACAATGAAGGGGACTATTATCACACGGTGCTGTGGATGGAGCAGGCACTGAAGCAGCTCGATGCTGGGGAGGAGGCCACCACAGCCAAGGCCCAGGTGCTGGACTACCTCAGCTACACCGTCTTCCAGCTGGGGGACCTGCATCGCGCCGTGGAACTCACCCGCCGCCTGCTCTCCCTTGGTAAGGAGCTTCTAGGGGAAGGTAGGATGAGGTGGGAGTGGAGAGGAGTTAGCAGAAGAACTAGATTCTCCTGGCCACTGCCTGACTGCTCCCCTTTCTGGGACTGAGTCAGTTTGACCTGTCACTTGGCCTGTGAATAATGATTTCAGTCCCTGTCCAGGTGTTGACTAGCTCCTTACCCACCCCAGTCCCAGGTCTTTGGCATCTGTGGCCCTGCATACTCCCTTTTGGTTTGTTTGTTTTTGCTGTAGGATGCGTGCACTCACCAGAGAGAAGGAAGTGAAAAATTATCCCGGGGGGTGGGGGTTGGTGGTGGTGGCCACACTGTAGTTCCTCCCCCTCCCTCTTGGGATTTTTGGGCATGCACACACATGGGCCTGGTGTGATTTCCAAGCTGCCAGGTCCAGGACTTAAACCACAGTCGGCCATGTGGGAATCCAGCACCTTAACCACCATGCGCCTTGTGGGCCCTCATACTCTCTTTTTAAATAAGGACCCAATGATGTGGTACTATGCAGGGTGAAGCCTTTACTGCATCTGGAGCAGCTCAAGAGGCAAACTGTCCTCTACAGTGACAGTGACCCGGCTCTTCGTGAGAGGCCTATGGCCTCACAGTAGCATGCGCCATGGCACTGGTGCTGTGTGTGTTGTGAGATGTTGACTAAGGAAGGCCAGAAACACGGCGGCTTTAAAACTCAGCTGTTCCTTGTCTTAGTGATATTTGGAAACACCGTTGTCTGGAATTTCACAGACCAGCAAAGACTTTCTTACACTGATGCTTTTTCATGGGTTCTTGAGTCTTATATCAGCTAGCATATGAGTGTCCTACAAAATTGAGGACCAGCAGATGGTGTAGTGGTTCAGGTGCTGGATTCCCACATAGCCAACCGTGGTTCAAAGCCAGGACCCAGCAGCTTTAAAATCACAATGGGCATGTGTGCGTACGTGCCCAAAATCCTGAGAGGGGAATGGAAGAGAAGGGATTGTGGTATGGCCATTTCCCCTGGGAGGTGATTTTTCACTTTCCTTCTCTCTCTCACTCTCTCTCTCTCTCTCTCTCTCTCTGGTGAGTGTAGGCACCCTATGACCAAAAAAAAAAAAAAATCTTAAAAAAAAAAAAAACCCGTAGGCACCCTAAGAACAAAAAAAAAAAAAAAATCTTAAAAAAAAAAAAGCCTTGTAGATTCTGTCAGATGAGTTAGTAAAAGGCTTGGAAAGGGAGTCAGGACACTTGGATCCTTGTTCCATTTAACCTAAGTTTCTTAACAGTTCACTCGAGAGTTTCGGATCTCAGTTTCCTTATCTGAGGAGTGGCACCAAAATCCTTCTGAGCCTCTTTTGGGTGGTGTGAGGCCCACAAGATGGAGCCCTGGGCATTGCCTTCCTGGCATTTTAGCTTGGCTTCTAGCTGTGGCTGGCATGTGACGTGGTCACCAGTAATGGGTGTGCTCTGAGGATTCAGCCATAAGGGCACACGGCCATGTCCCGAGGCGGAGGTAGGACCCCGGACTGGTTCTCTGGACCTGGGACCAGAGGACCTCCAGGGGGGCCTAGGAAGGAAGCCTCCTCGGTGGCTACGTGTCCCCATTTGAGGGTGCTGCTCGTCTCCCATCAGGGACCAGTGTGCCCTGGTTAGCTGCTGTGGGTAGCAGAAAGTGGCATGCGAGTGAGCTGCTTGAGCGAGACCGCTTACAAGATAATTTCTCTAAATGACCTAACAGATGTTTGTGGTTTCCTTTTCCTTCTTGTTCTTTACTTTTTCTAGACCCAAGCCATGAGCGAGCTGGAGGCAATCTGCGGTACTTCGAGCGGTTGCTGGAGGAAGAGAGAGAAAAAATGCCATCAAATCAGACAGAAGCTGAGCTAGCAACCCAGGAAGGCATCTACGAGAGGCCCGTGGACTACTTGCCCGAGAGGGATGTGTACGAGAGCCTCTGTCGTGGGGAGGGTGTCAAACTGGTGAGATGTGGGAGGGGCATCAGGGCACCCAGGCTGTGGGCCTGGACTGTGGCTCTGGGTGGGCAGGTCTGGGGGGCCTCTGTCAGTAGGTACTTTCTTCCGCATCCCCCTCTTCTAGCATCTGCTGCGGCTGGCATGTGCGTGCTCTCTCAGGTATAGGACAAGAGAGTCTTCTGCTGATGCCCCAGGCAGAGTTCAGTCCTCTAAGTTATTATTGAGGTCCCCTCCCCCTACGCCCAGCTTTTGCTTGACCCACTGTTTTGAAGGGAACAATGGGTGTGGGTGTGCCTCAGGCCCCAAGAGAATTCTGGTATGCCTGGAGATTAGGTCTTTGCAGTAAAGAAAATGGCTGATACTAGAGCTCCGTATTGGGTGTCACTGTCCTTTGAGTGCCTGAGGATCCTGTGTCCTCAACGAGGCCCCGGGTGAGGCAGGCAGTAAGCTTTTCCACACCCATCTCCTGGCTCCCACTGGCTCCTCTACACGTCCAGGCCCCAGCCCTGCAAACCTACTCAGATCTCTGGGAAAGGGGTCCAGGAGAGTGGACAAGAGGCGATCTTAGGAGAGGAGAAAAAGCCCATGATTTGTGTGAATCTGACCTCATGCAGTGAATGAAGCTGGGGGCCTTTTGTTTTCTTGGGGCAGGGTGGGAGGGAGCAGCTGTGGACCATGGGGTGAGGCTGGTGTCTGCAGACCGCCAGAGTGGGACCAAGGGTTAGGACCAGCTCCACTCAGGACCTGTTGCTCTGTATCCCCAGACACCCCGGAGGCAGAAGAGGCTTTTCTGTAGGTATCACCATGGCAACAGGGCGCCACAACTGCTCATCGCCCCCTTCAAGGAGGAGGACGAGTGGGACAGCCCGCACATCGTCAGGTACTATGACGTCATGTCTGACGAGGAAATCGAGAGGATCAAGGAGATCGCAAAACCCAAAGTACGTGTCTCTATAGGTCCTTCTCGTGGCCCCGAAGGGGGCAGGTCCTCTCTCTTATCCCTGGCACCATGGGGCCATCCGCTTGCTTACCCAGCCTGCCTTTAATTATCCCATGCAAGTCCACTATGGGGTACGGAGGTGCTTGACCTTGTGGGTTCATGTCCAGTGGGGAAGGAGAGTGAGGACAGCATGTGGTCAGCCAAGTACTGTGCCGGAAGGTCACCCTGAGAGGGCAGCTCACCTGGTTGGGGCCTGGGAGGGGACGAAGCCATGGCATGCTGCCGAGCTAGGCGCTGTGAGCTTGTGACTGGGGCTGCCAGTGAAGGGGCTGACTTGGAGGACAGTGTGCAGTGTGCATCTTTACTGTATCATGTCTTCTCATTCATTTTTTGCACTTTTTTTTCTTAAGTTTTTGCTGTAGGATGTGTGCACCCACCAGAGAGGTACAACGGGAGAGAAAGAGAGAGAGAGAAAATGAGAAAAAACCCCTGCCGGGGGGGATGGCCATGCCACAATTTCTTCTCCATGCTCCTCTTGGGATTTCAGGTACACATGCACACATGCCTGTTATATCTTTCAAGCTTCTGGGTCCAGGACTTGAACCGTGCACTTGGCCACATGGGATCCAGTGGCCTTAACTACCACGCAACCTGGTTGGCCCTGACCTTGTACATTTCTTAAGTTTATTCTTAGGTAGTTTTTTTGGTTATTGTAACTTATACTGTTTCTTCATTAATTTTATTTTTGGTTTAATAAAGTTTTATTTTTTCAACTGTACAGTTGGTGTGCCTGTTCATGCATCAGCACCAGCTGCCAGGGCATCCCACCCTTGGTATTTCTGGTGTAAATTACTTGTGCTCTGTACTTCGGAACTAGTTTGATAAGTCTTTTATTAAAAAGCTCCTGAAGTGCCGCCCTGACCAGGGAACCCCGAATCTTCAGCCTCTCGGAGAGCACAGCGGGGTTATGCGCTTATAGTTGGGCACTTCCTTACGGTGCTTGCAGTATGGAGCTCTGTCCAACAAGACCAGGTTGTTGAGCTCATCCGAACTTTGCCTTTAGACCACCTCTTCTTTTAGGCCTTGACCCCAGATTTGTTCACTGGATCTTTGTCCTCTTCGGCTGACTTCCCAACGTCTTTCTTCTTCTTGTCGTTCTTGGGTAGCATTGCGCAGCCGGGAGAGCAGCAGCAGCCACCACAGCCTCGCTAAGATGTCGGGCAGAAAGTTCTTAATTAATTAACTGGTTACACCTTACATTAGTTTACTATTAAGTACTAAATGATTGACTTAAAAATGTATCTCATGTGGCCAGCAGGTGGTATGGTGGTTAAGGTGCTGGACTCCCACATGGCCGACTGTGGTTCAAGTCCTGGACCTGGTGACTTGCTTTCTCACTTTCTTTCGTTCTCTAGTCAAAGTGAAAAATAAGTAATAATAACAAAATAAATAAGTCTTTAAAAAAGAAAAAGAATGTATTTCATAGTAATAGTGTTTACTGAGTTTTTAAGTATAACACGACCTGTTTTAAGTGCTTATCATATATTAACTACCGTGTTTCTGAAGTAAGCTATGCAACTACCTTCATTTCACTCATGAGGAACCTGGGACTTGTGCAGATCATGGCTAGTGGTCAAACTCATTTTTTGTTTATTTATTTTTTTATCAGAGTCACTTAGGTTGTCTGGATAATATGATAATCGCCCAGAACTTCTAGAGTATTGTTACAGTAGACATCTTTATCATGTTCCTGAATGTCTTGGAAATTTCTCCAGTATTTCACTGCTAAATATGCAGTTGGCTGTTGGTTTTGTATGTGTGTCATGTCATAAAATTATTATTCTATTTCTAGTTCATAAAATATCTGTTCCCATTTGACATATTTCTAAGCGCTCCTTGCTGCCATATTCCTATCCTTCTCCCATGATGATGGTTGGGAGGGATGATTTCGCTGGATTCTCTGTTGCTCTGCTCCTAATAGAATTATAGTGGCTGAGGTGGCCAGGAGGCCTAGTATTCATGGAGAGTCCTGAAAAAGGTTCCCATCCTGGCCCCTGGACCTCATCTGGGAACAACCTTGGCCTGAGGTAGTAGGACATCTAGGGCTAGAGTCCATTGTTGGTATCGTTGATGTGGCTGAGGGAGGGTCAAGCCAGTGTGTGTGAAGAATGGGGACCTGGCCTCCCTTTCCTGTCCTTGAATCTTCCTTCCCCACCAGGGAAGGAAACCACTTTCCTGGTTTCCAGGTGAGAGAGGCGCTGTTGGGCCACAGTCTCCTGAGAGATTTCTCACCCATCCCTCAGTTCCAGACACTGAGGACATCTCTCTGTGTGTGTGCACATGCACATGTGTGGCAGGGGTGGGAGAGAGTGCCAGGAAACTTGTCTTTGAATAGAAGCCATAGGAAGAGCCAGACGTGTTGGCCATCATAAGCTGACCTTTCCTTTCCGGAAGCTGGGAGGGACAGATGCTATTCTGGCTTTGAAGTAGGTCCAATGAGCTTAACAAGGCCTGCAGGGAATGCCTGGCAGCTGTCTGTGGGTCTCCAGCCTGCTTTCAAAATAGCCATGTCTGCCCTCAGGGGCAGAGAACAGCTGCCCAGAGCCTTTTTGAGGTGTCGGGCCAACACAGAGGCTAAGATGTTTAGATGAGGTCTAGCTCTGGCTGCATTTGTCATAGGGGAGGGTCTAGCATAAAAAGCTGGAGCTCAGGATGGTCCACAGGTAGGAGCTCGAGGAAGCCGTCTGTCCTGGGTGTGCTGGCCATCCTGTCAAAACATGCTGCAGTAGCACAGCGTCCAGGTCAGTCGATTTGACCCCCGACCAGCATTCTGCACTCTCCACTCCTCTCCATCTGCCAGGCCACTGCCATCTCTTCCCTCACCCTGACCTCTAACATGGCTCCCTCACTGGCCTCCTCCTTCCCACTGTGACCCTGCCCTAGTCAATGTTCCATGAGGTTTTCACAGTGATCCTCCTCCAGTTCAGATTGTGAGTGTCCCTCACCCACATAAAGCTGTCCTTGCTTCTCCGGAACCACAGTGTGCATCAAGACCTGACCCTTTGCTTGCCTCTTCAGCTGCTCATTTCTCACTAGTTCCTGCAACCTCAAATCAACAGTCATTTCCACACCCATTTTTATCCCCTGGCCTCTGCACTGCTGCGTCCTCCATGTTCCTGTGATCCCCCACTGGACCAGCTCCTGTTTCCCTGTCAGAGCTCAGCCGGGTGGTCTTTTCCTCTAGGAAGCCTTCTTGACCCTATAGGCTGAGATCCTGAGGGCACTAAGCTCACTTGTTCATACTGGCTGCGTTTCTGCCTTCCTCACTGGTTGTGTTATGTGAGTCAGGGTCCACGTCTCAGTCACCCAGCATGGTTCCAGGCACTTAGTAGGCACTGACAAAATAGCTATTGAAATTAAGAAGTGCCATTGGGTAGTTACCTGGGCCTGTGGCCCCACCCACGTGAAGTCATTGGGACAGTCCCCAGCTGAAGCACATGGGCCCTTCCCTTGGAGGCTCACCTGGGCAGCAGGTCCCACCTGGGAGGATCCCTGAGCCTGCCTTTGGAAACTGGGAGTAGGTGGGGTAAGTGAGGGGCATGTGTGTGCGTGAGTGTAGACATGGGGACGGGTGACTTCCAAGCAGCCATTTACTTATTTCAACTTGTAGAATCCTCTCCTGGTTTTACCATCACACTTGGTGAGGCTGATGTGAGGGAGTGAGAACTAGCCGCCTCTCTTCCTCGCAGCAGTGGGAGCCCAGTGTGAGGTGGTGTGGCGGGAGAGCGTCAGAGTGGGCTTGTTGGCACAAGATGCCTTGAGGTTCATGATGATTGCGGGACTTGACCAAGTCAAGAGAAGCATGCAAGGTTGAGGCTCGGGGTGTCAGCACAGTCTGAACATGGAGGGAGCAGCCAAGTGCAGGCTGTGCTCAGGCAGGGGTGGTGTGTGGGCCCGGCCAGGAAGGGGGCTGTCCAGGCTGATGTGTGGGGGGACACAGCAGACCCTACAGCCATGATTCTGCAGGCAGCACAAACCTAGGTCAGAGGAGGAGGTGGGGAGTGACCGAGCAGGGCAACAGCCTGGGTCTTTCAGCCCAGTGTGGTGACCTCAGACTCCTGCCTGGACCTGAGGGTCATGGGTCCTTGGCTAGAGCCACTGCCTAGAAAGCATCCTCCCCCAGTAGCATAGCTGGCAGATCTGGCCCCTGTGTGCACCCAGAAACACTCAAGGCTAATGAAGGTAAGCCTTCTCTCTTCCTGCCTTCCAGCTTGCACGAGCCACTGTTCGTGATCCCAAGACTGGTGTCCTCACTGTTGCCAGCTACAGGGTTTCCAAAAGGTAAGCAGATAGGTGATAGTGGGGGTTGGGGGCTGCTCACATCCCACCTCCAGGGCCTCCCAGTGCCTACCCAAGGGAGGGTGGCTTGTCTTGTCTTACCTCTTCACCCTCTGAGCATTCACTTTTGCCTGGTAATGCTGGTCCTGGCTGGGAGGGGGTGCCAGACCTCATCTAAACCTATCCTCCCCATCTTCATTTCTCTGCCCCTTTTGGCCTAGCTCCTGGCTGGAGGAGGACGATGACCCTGTAGTGGCCCGAGTAAATCGCCGGATGCAGCACATCACAGGGTTAACAGTAAAGACAGCAGAATTGTTGCAGGTATAGCTGATCCTTGGGACCATGGGAGTTGGGAAGAGGGTATTTCTGGTTAGATGGTCTCACAGGGTTCCCAGGACCAAGCCTGGAAAAGCCCGCCTAATAAATTAATGACTGCATGGTGATATGAGTTCGGAGTGGTCTCACTCTGGGAAACCACAGTTAATCTTGCATTTAACAGTAGGCATTCCACAAATACCAATCGAGCATCTATTGGGTTGTTAGAAAAGTCATGATGCATTTTTCATAGAAAAGCACAGGAAAATATGAATGGCTTTTCCAGTGACCCAATACTTTGTGCCCTGTATTATATTAGGAGCTAGAGATCAGTGGTGGACAGGGCAGGCTCATTCATATCTTCTTGACCACAAAGCTCAAATTCTGAATTGTTCCAGGGACACCTCTAAGAGCTAGAAACTTCAGAAGCTGTGGCTCTATGTCATAGCCACACATATGAGATAGTGGAGTTAAAGTGTGCTCTAATACGTTTGTCCTGGAAGTGAGAGGCCTGGGCAGGATGGGGGGTAGAGGCGAGGTGCCCTTGTCCAGGTATTCTCATTGGGAACCTGGCTTCCTGCCTTTATTTGAGAAATCAGAGTGAAGGGACAAAGCTCCTTAATGATACCTCTTGGGTCTGGAACTCCAATCAGCACTGGCTATTCTCCCATCTGAACATCGGAACTTCTGGGTTTTGTTATAAAATTGATGACCCGAAACACTGCAAGAGAAGATTCACTGGATCTTTCTAGAGTCCCCTGTTTCTAGCCAGTTTCTGTGTATTGAAAGGTATCAGCCCTCACCTTTAGGCTTAACATTTGGGTCTAAGCATCTGTAGATCTCATGAGAGTATTGACTGAAGACCTTTTAGAAAAGATACTCTGAACTTCCTTCTAGACATACCTTGGCAAATCTGCGTGTATGTGTATTTTATTATTTTTTTTCCCTGCAGTGGCCTTAGCAATTTTTTTTTAAAAAAAGAATTATTTAATTTAATTTTATTCATTGTCATTATTACTATTTTTTAAAAATTTTATTTAAGTTGACCAGAGAGAGACAGAGAGAAGGAAAGTGAGAAAACAAGCTGCCAGGTCTGGGACTCAAACCTTGATCAGGCATGTGAGAGTCCAGCCACCTTAACCACCACACCACCTGCTAGCCCGGCCTCAGAAATTGTAAAACCAATTTTGTAGGTCATATTTGTGGTTTTGAAGTCCTGCAGCATTTTCAAAAACATATAGACAGTCTTGTGAAAATTTTATGTAATTTTTCAGTTCAGCTCACCTTAGCATTCTCTAACTTTCAAATAAGTTCTGCAGACAGGTACATCAGTAGAGGGCGTCTGCCACATCTACTTCTGCGGGCTTCTCTGTAGGCAAGCACCACCATTTCAAGGCCAGTGGGAATTCGGATACCTTCCTGTTGGCATTCTCTTGTTGCATATATTCTTGGAGTGGGGTTTTGTTTTGTTTTAGTTTTTGCTATAGGGTGCATGCACTTGCCAGAAGGAGACAGAGAGGGAAAGCGAGAAATCACCCCCCAGGGAGGGGGGGAATGGCCATGCCATAATCCCTTCTCTATTCTCAGGATTTGGGGCATGTGTGCACATGCACTTGGCATGATTTTCAAGCCACTGGGTTCAGGATTTGAACCACAGAGTGGGCCATGTGTGGTCCAGTGCCTTAACTTTTGTGCCACCTGCTGGTCCATCGTTTTGTTTTTAAAACGTTTTGTTTTTTAAAACGTCTGTCACGGTTTCCTCCATGTCAGAGCCAGTTTGTGTTCAGGATTCTCATGGCCTTGACCAAGACGGCAGTCTGCTGATGACTGATTTCATACCCAGGATCAAAGTACCGACTAGGCAGGACCTGTGTTTCTGTTGCTGTCCTGGCTTGTTTCCCAGCTGCACTCTTTACCCTTTCTCACACTCAGCCACTCAGGCAGCAGCCCCTTGCTATAAAAAGCCTTCTGTGCTCCAACTCTGGCTTCATCTCATCTGGCTTCTCATCGTATAGTAGCTCAATTGACTGGGGTCTGAATGCCACAACTCTCAGTGGAAGGGATCTTATAGTCAGGAGTCTTCCAGAAGGTCTAGACTATAGCTGCCAAGTGGTAGTGACACCATTTTTGTTTGAATCCTTCCTCTAAGAACTGTCTTGGCATTTCTTCACTGCACTAGAGTGGTGGAAGCTTTGGTCTTGCATGATCTAGGGGATAGGAACCTGGATTTCAGCACCCGTCCTTCTGTGCTTATTCGACTTGAATGTCTTATGGTATGGCACCAAAAACTTTGAGAACACAACAAACTTCTGGCAAGAAGCTGGTTCTTTTGCTACCTGTCAACACTTTCACCTGTAGCTGATGTGTTTGCTTTGCACGTCAGAAAAAGAGCAATTGAGGCTTTTTGGTGAATAGGATGAGGGCCTCTGATAGAGAAGACATCCTATAACTCCAGGATTCTCTAAGATTGAAGACTTCTGTCCTGAGATGTCGTAGCCTTATCAGGAAAGCTTATTTCTTATTTCTTTTATTTTTAAAAATATTTATTGAATTCAATTTGTTATGTATTATTATTATTATTTAATTTGGCCAGGCATAAACAGAGAGAGAAAGGGAAAGTGAGAAAGCCAGCCTCCAGGTTCGGGACTTGAACCATAGTCAACCACTTGGGAACCCAGCACCTTTAACCACCACACCACTTGGCGACCCCAAGGAAAGTTATTTTGAACCTTTCTCCCCACTTACTCTGGCTCAGCATCATAAAAACCTATGGTCTTTCAAATGACTGACTCGACTCATCTAGCCAGTGACAAGCCTAAAGATGCAAATGAACACCTGCTTACAGGAATCAGTTTTGATGTATGGTTGCCTGTCATTAAAGGTGCGAATCTGGGAACTCGAGTAGGTCTGAACTGTGACTTCTGCGAATCCATAGTTCCCACAGCTTTCGCACTTATCTCGGGGCAGTAATAAAGAGTGTAAGTACAGAGGCTTCAGCCCTGTGAACAGGTAGAATTCTCTAAGTGGTCGAAAGATGAGCCAGCGATAGCAATGCGACTTCTTTCACTGCCTGGGATCTGCAAGTTTGATTACTCCACTCACCAAGCCGAAATGCTGGAGCTACTCCGCAGCTCAGCGACAGGTGTGGATCTAATTTTCCTGAGGGCCTTGACATGGCAGTCAGAGGCACGTTTAAAATTTTCTTCACAACTAGAGTGGATACAAAGACAAGGTATATTTGTAAATGTATTTGCAATATCACTTCATCACCTGCCCTCACACTTTCCTCCTGAGATGCACCCCAGCCTCAGGTCACCAGCTGAACTAGGCCACCTTGTGCTCTTGACAGGATTTCTGGGGATTTTGGTACTGAAGTCTTGAAGACAGAAGCCATGGATGACAGCACATCTTTTCTTTTTTAAAAGTTTATTCCTTTACTTCATGAGCAAGAGAGACAGAGAAACAACGTCCCCAGTAAAGTCTTGATAACCCCGGCCCTAGCCAGGCCTGGATCACAGGCACACGTCTGCCCTTGGGGAGGTTTCCAGACATGAATGCAACATCTTCCCACAAGGGCCAGCCTCCCACAGCGGGTTTCCTTTCCCCCTTTGTTTTTGCTATAAGGCGCATACATTCACCAGAGGGAGACAGAGAGCAAGAGAGAGGGGAGGGAAAAGTAAAAAATCACACCCCTCCAGGCCGGGGGTGGGGGTATCACCGTGCTGCAATCCTGTCTCCTCCATCCTCCTCTTGGAATTTTGGGCATGCATCCACATGCATGGCCCCCAACCGATTATTTTCATCTAATGATTCTTCATATCAAAATTTTAATCTTTGTAGACACTGAAATCGTACTGCCTGAATTTTGCATTCCATCGTATTGGGCAAATATCGCTTGTGCTCCAAGAGAATTTCCTCTGTAGTCAAGCCCACCCTCCCTTTGTCTCCCACACAGCTATTGGTCTCCATTACTGCCAGTTTTGCAGCATACCAAACCTGTAAGAACGGCAAAAGGGGCATATGAAAAACACCAACTTCCTGAGAACTCGTGGCCGAGCCCCAAAGGTTGTTAGGGTTTCAGTAATACACGGTACCAAACTATTCCCAGGTGAACATTGGTGATGCCACTTAATCCATCAGCTTCCATCTCAAACCTTGTTTCTCATGCTGTGTACTGAGGCTCAAATAACCACTATGAGTTAGGACTTTACCTAGTGCCGACAAGCTGTCTACAAAGGCATTTACAAGTTGAATGCTATTACCGACTCCTGGTAGTTGCTGAAGCGGTGGTGGCCCAGGCCTCGCTGCAGGTCCAGTCACACCGGGGCCGTGGAGGCAGTGCACAGGTCTTGGCCACCTGCAGCCGCCGTGCATGTCCTGCAGCTTCTCTTGGTTGCAGAAGAGCTCCATGCAGTGACCCTGCGGGAGGAGTGGGATGTGTACGCCCTACTCAGTCTGACCAGAATGGGTGCTGGGGCATGGCGGCAGGCATGGCAGGAGCAGTGCCAGGCACTGAGTAGCTTCAAAACCAGTGTTTTTTTTTTTTTTTTTTTTTTAAATCCCAGTCTTGAGTTTGTTGTTAGCTTACAAACAGGGCCCTGGCCAGGGTCTGCCTCAGGAGGGGTTCCCTCTGAGTATCCCTGCAGGGCTGGAGCTTCTCCACAGTGGCCACCTATGGTGTGCCCATCTTGTTCTCTTTGGGAAACCACATTTGTGCTTCAGCCTTACTCTGGGACATATTTGAGGGTTGTTTGTTCTGCCTGTGCTGGTAGGGCGTGGCTGTCTTCCACCTTAGAGAGGCTGCTCTGCAGAAATACCATCTCTGAGATGGGGTGCTACAGGGCTGTTCACACTGCTGGGTCCAACGTTCTCATTTTCCACCAGGTGGCTAATTATGGAATGGGAGGACAGTATGAACCGCACTTTGACTTCTCCCGGGTAAGGCCCCAATCACCTTTCAGAGGGCCCCGTCTCAGCTGCTTGAGAGGGCTGAGGCTTCTAGGAGCACTTTGGCCTCCATGTCAGCCCCTCCATCCCCTACCCTCACTCCTGCCTCACCAGGGTTGATCATTACTGGTGAAGCCCAAGTCTGGAACCATGGAGTCTCCAGGGCCCAGAGATGCCTGGCTGTTCCCTCCCTCATATGGGCCTTGCCCTGCCACTGTTTGCTCTGATCCTAAAGCAAAGGGTCTCACTTGGTCTTTGTGAAAGTTGTTCCTACTCCTCTTTCTCCCCTACCCCTGCTCCCATGTTCTGGCTAGTTTCCTTTGAGCCTTGGCCCCATGTTTCAGGTTGATTTATGGGAGGCTTGTTTTTTTTTATTATTTTTTTCCTACTATCCCTGACCCTTGGGCCCCAGTTTTGTGGGTGGTGGGTGAAGTTGGTTGCAAACTTGGGTGAAAGTTGTTGTCTGTTGCAGCGACCTTTTGACAGCGGCCTCAAAACGGAGGGGAATAGGTTAGCGACGTTTCTTAACTATGTAAGTATTGGATCCAGGTCCACCTCACTCTCACTTAATTTTATAGAACCATGGGCAAGATGCTTTCAAGCGTTTAGGGACTGGGAATCGTGTGGCCACATTCTTAAACTACGTGAGTATGACGTGTGCAGCTTTCGGGCCCTATGGGGACCCTGGGTCCAGAGGGCTCTCTCATATCCCACCTCCGTCAGGGCAGACACCACCAGCAGTTGCATGATGGCCAGGTCCTTTGGGCCCTCAGCACTCTCCGTAGCTGGAGCAGAGAGCTGGCCTTTGTTGCTGTCCGTGTGGCCTTCGCTGTTGCCCCTGCTGGGACTTTCATGTTCCTGGCATTTTTCTCCCCCTATCTTTTTATTGTAGTAGGTAAAATACACACAGCATAAAATTTACCATGAAATTCTCAGTGGTGCTAAACACTTGCATGATGTCGTGCAAGCATCGCCTCTGTCCGTGTCCATCACTCTTTTTGTCTTCTCACCAGGGTTGATCATTACTGGTGAAGCCCAAGTCTGGAACCATGGAGTCTCCAGGGCCCAGAGATGCCTGGCTGTTCCCTCCCTCATGTGGGCCTTGCCCTGCCACTGTTTGCTCTGATCCTAAAGCAAAGGGTCTCACTTGGTCTTTGTGAAAGTTGTTCCTACTCCTCTTTCTCCCCTACCCCTGCTCCCATGTTCTGGCTAGTTTCCTTTGAGCCTTGGCCCCATGTTTCAGGTTGATTTATGGGAGGCTTGTTTTTTTTTATTATTTTTTTCCTACTATCCCTGACCCTTGGGCCCCAGTTTTGTGGGTGGTGGGTGAAGTTGGTTGCAAACTTGGGTGAAAGTTGTTGTCTGTTGCAGCGACCTTTTGACAGCGGCCTCAAAACGGAGGGGAATAGGTTAGCGACGTTTCTTAACTATGTAAGTATTGGATCCAGGTCCACCTCACTCTCACTTAATTTTATAGAACCATGAGCAAGATGCTTTCAAGCGTTTAGGGACTGGGAATCGTGTGGCCACATTCTTAAACTACGTGAGTATGACGTGTGCAGCTTTCGGGCCCTATGGGGACCCTGGGTCCAGAGGGCTCTCTCATATCCCACCTCCGTCAGGGCAGACACCACCAGCAGTTGCATGATGGCCAGGTCCTTTGGGCCCTCAGCACTCTCCGTAGCTGGAGCAGAGAGCTGGCCTTTGTTGCTGTCCGTGTGGCCTTCGCTGTTGCCCCTGCTGGGACTTTCATGTTCCTGGCATTTTTCTCCCCCTATCTTTTTATTGTAGTAGGTAAAATACACACAGCATAAAATTTACCATGAAATTCTCAGTGGTGCTAAACACTTGCATGATGTCGTGCAAGCATCGCCTCTGTCCGTGTCCATCACTCTTTTTGTCTTCTAAGACGGAGTCTCTGAACCCATTCAACACAGTTCCAGATTCCCCTCCCGCAGGCCCTGGAAAATGCAGTTCTACTTTCTGTGTCTGTGATTTTGATTTCTCGAATCACCCTCTGTAAATGGAATCAGGGGATTTGTCTTTGTGTGGCTGTCCTGTTCCACGTAGTATAATGTCCTTGAGATTCATCCCTGTTGGGCTGTGTTCTGGGCCGTGTTCCTTTTCATGGGCCGGGTGCTAGTCTACACTTTGGGGGTGGTGTCCTGGAGGGTTCCCTCCTTGGCAGTAGAAGGAGGGGTCGTTATGGAGTGCTCTAGATGAAAGTTCATTTCCCCAGAGGCTCAGTGGCCTGCTTCCCACCTGCTGCCTTTCTTCACCATTGGCCATTGGGTTTGCCTTTTCCATAAGGAGCAAGTTCATCTCCCTCAGCTGAGAAAGCCAGTTCTAAAAAGGCATAGAGGCTATCAAAGCAAGAGACAGAAGTCTGTGTTCACTTTTTCCTTTATAAGCTTTTATTATGTGGTTATTGCATATTAGGAACTGGCCCGTGGGTATGCTGGGAGCAGGGCATCTGTGGTCTTTCTCATGGTGCTGGAGGTCTGATAGGAGAGACTGACTTTTAAACACAGGAGAGCCCTTTAGTTACCATGGAGACAAGTGTTATAAAGAGGCAGCCCAGGCTCAGGGTCCAGAGAAGCCTCTCTCGGAAAGTAACACATCCACTGAAACTTAAAGGTTGAGGGGAAATTAGCTGGTGGAACATGGTTTCTGGCAGAGGAGAGAGTGTCTGTGGGCCTGGAAGAGAAAAGGAGCTTGAGATGCTGGAAAGACAGAAAAATGGCTGGTATGACTAGAGGGACTAGTGAGACCAGCAGGGCCTCAGGGTTCTAGGACAGCTGTGGGGCTCCATCAGGAGTTTTCATCGTATTCATTTACCCTCTGCTTTGAGTGTCCTTCAGTCAGCCTGATGTGTGTCCTGTGGAAATATATTTCAGTTCCATTTTTTGTTACGTATAGGCAGAACACTTGAAGTAAGAGGCCCGATGAGGAAGGAATGCTGCTCTGGGCATGCGTTGAGGCACACTCTGTGGGCAGGAGTGCAGCCTCACTGCTTGGAACTTGTGTTCAGTTTAGTTGAGGCCTCACCATGGACAAAGCAGGGCCTCCAGAGACCGCGCCCTTCCTTCCAGCCCAGCTGGCCCTAGGAAGGATGGCTTTTCTTGGGAGGTGAGGTTCTGACTAGAGCACAGGGCCCTGGAGTCAGAGAAGCAGCCCTCAACAGGGGCTGTCGCTGATGTGAAGGAGCAGGTGCAGCTGGTTGGGCCCCCATGGCTTAGACAAGGCCCAGGCTGGATAGAAATGCAGGGGTCGGGGGTAAGATGGGCATTTTCTGAGTGCAGACTGAGATCATGCCCATCTAAGGATGGCCCGGAGGTGGGTCTCCTACATCACGGACATGGTCCTGATGGACCATAGAGAAGTGGGCGTGGGAAGAGCTTTTCTCAGCTGAAGGACTGGCCTTACATATGAGCTTTCAGACAGTGCCGCTCAATCTCAGGAGAGTGATCTGCACCCCCTGTCATGTCCTCTGGGCTCAGTTGCTCTGAGGGCCAAGCTCTGTGCCTTCTATTCCCAGATGAGTGATGTAGAAGCTGGTGGTGCCACTGTCTTTCCTGATCTGGGGGCTGCCATCTGGCCTAAGAAGGTATGTTCTGATTCTTGTGGGTCAAAGGTTGAAGCAGGGTACAGATGTTGTCCTCAGTGCTGTTCCTTGGCCTGCTTGTCTGTCACCATGATGTGTGTTAGCCCCTTCCCACTGTGACCTTGTAGACCCAGCTTCTACCTGGAAGGAGGGAAGGACAGGGAAGCCCTGTAGGGGCAGGTGGGTTTCCAAACTTCTACTCACCGTGAAGGTTATATGCTTTTTGGGAAACTTCTCTATCGCTGGAGTCCCAAAGCTCTGTCTTCCTGTACACAGGAAAGTGGGGGTGTTTCTGCTCGGGCTGGAGTTCCTGTGGTGCTCCCGGTCAGGTCCCTGAACCCTGTCTCCAAGGATAGATTGTGACAGGCCTTCTCCTTCCTAGGGCACAGCGGTATTCTGGTACAATCTCTTACGGAGTGGGGAAGGTGACTACCGAACAAGACATGCTGCCTGCCCTGTGCTTGTGGGTTGCAAGTGGGGTAAGTGGCTCAGAGGTGGTATTGCTCTGGCGGCCTCAGCCTGGCTTTGACAGTTGATTTTATACTCTGAGCTGAGATGTGGTTGCTGCCAAATCTGTATAAAACTAAGGCTGTCTTCCTTCTGAGGTTTTGTCCTGCTAATTGAGGGTACCATCCAGCCATGTAGCGGCCAGTTGTGTGCCAAGACAACTGAGGGGAGCACTCTCCTGGTGATGCCTGGGGAGCTGAGGAAGCCCTGAGGAAGAGCAGCTACATAAGCACCATAGATGCAAGATGGCTCTCCAGAGGAGCGGGCCCTGGAGAGGGCCCTGAGGGAGTGGGGAGAGAGTTGGAAGCAGAGGGGAGAGAAAGCATGTCCTAGGCAAGCAAGGCCCACATGGAAAGAGGCACGAGATAAAAGGGAGCCCATGGCATGGGAGCCAACAGATGAGGCTGGAGCTGGGACCAAGCCACAGAGGTTGAGGTTCGAGCCTTGTCCTGGGAGCAGCTGTGGTGAGTTGGGCAGAGACTTGAACCAGAATGTGACAGGAACTGCCTGAAAAAAGATTAATTTGTAGCCCTCTTAGAAAGTTTTAGAGATAAATGGTGATAGGTTCACAGAACATTAAGCAAATGAAAAAGAAAATTAGGCAATTGAAAAAGTTATATGAGAGGAAACAGGGCCGGCCCCATGGCCTGGTGATTAGGGGAACTAGATTCCACATGGCTGTTTGTTGTTCAAGTCCTGGCCCTAGTGGCTAAAAGAGCACGCCGGGTACCTATGTGTGTGTGCATGTGCCCCAAATCCCAACAAGATGGAGGAGTAGAGGGGAAAGTATTGTGACATAACCATGTCTCATTTGGGGGTGTGTTATTTCTTTCCTTCTCTCCCTCCCTCTATCTGTCTCTGTGGCAAGTACACTTACTTCTGGCAATAAAAAAATAAATAAATAAAAGAAAATGTAATTATAATGAATATACATGGCTCAGGTGTGAGTAATGTTTATGTAGCATAATGTGTAGACATGAAGGTTATATGCTTTTTGGGAAACTTCTCTATCGCTGGAGTCCCAAAGCTCTGTCTTCCTGTACACAGGAAAGTGGGGGTGTTTCTGCTCGGGCTGGAGTTCCTGTGGTGCTCCCGGTCAGGTCCCTGAACCCTGTCTCCAAGGATAGATTGTGACAGGCCTTCTCCTTCCTAGGGCACAGCGGTATTCTGGTACAATCTCTTACGGAGTGGGGAAGGTGACTACCGAACAAGACATGCTGCCTGCCCTGTGCTTGTGGGTTGCAAGTGGGGTAAGTGGCTCAGAGGTGGTATTGCTCTGGCGGCCTCAGCCTGGCTTTGACAGTTGATTTTATACTCTGAGCTGAGATGTGGTTGCTGCCAAATCTGTATAAAACTAAGGCTGTCTTCCTTCTGAGGTTTTGTCCTGCTAATTGAGGGTACCATCCAGCCATGTAGCGGCCAGTTGTGTGCCAAGACAACTGAGGGGAGCACTCTCCTGGTGATGCCTGGGGAGCTGAGGAAGCTCTGAGGAAGAGCAGCTACATAAGCACCATAGATGCAAGATGGCTCTCCAGAGGAGCGGGCCCTGGAGAGGGCCCTGAGGGAGTAGGGAGAGAGTTGGAAGCAGAGGGGAGAGAAAGCATGTCCTAGGCAAGCAAGGCCCACATGGAAAGAGGCACGAGATAAAAGGGAGCCCATGGCATGGGAGCCAACAGATGAGGCTGGAGCTGGGACCAAGCCACAGAGGTTGAGGTTCGAGCCTTGTCCTGGGAGCAGCTGTGGTGAGTTGGGCAGAGACTTGAACCAGAATGTGACAGGAACTGCCTGAAAAAAGATTAATTTGTAGCCCTCTTAGAAAGTTTTAGAGATAAATGGTGATAGGTTCACAGAACATTAAGCAAATGAAAAAGAAAATTAGGCAATTGAAAAAGTTATATGAGAGGAAACAGGGCCGGCCCCATGGCCTGGTGATTAGGGGAACTAGATTCCACATGGCTGTTTGTTGTTCAAGTCCTGGCCCTAGTGGCTAAAAGAGCACGCCGGGTACCTATGTGTGTGTGCATGTGCCCCAAATCCCAACAAGATGGAGGAGTAGAGGGGAAAGTATTGTGACATAACCATGTCTCATTTGGGGGTGTGTTATTTCTTTCCTTCTCTCCCTCCCTCTATCTGTCTCTGTGGCAAGTACACTTACTTCTGGCAATAAAAAAATAAATAAATAAAATAAAATGTAATTATAATGAATATACATGGCTCAGGTGTGAGTAATGTTTATGTAGCATAATGTGTAGACATGCTGAGGTGTGAGTAATGTTTACATAGCATAATGTGTAGACACTGAACATTAACTAAAACTTGTAATTTAACTGTATTGGGAACATGGAAGGAGATAAGTTTGTGTTTTAGAGGTAGATTAAATGAATTACAATCTTGAAAGTCAAGAAAAGGGGCCGGCCCTATGGCCTGGACAGGAGCTAGATTACACATGGCTGTTTGCGGTTCGAGTCCTAGCCCTGGAGGCTTGAAGAGCACACCGAGAGCATTTGTGTGTGTGCATGTGCCCAGATCCCTACAGGATGGAGAAATGGGGGAGAAAGGATGTGGCATAATCATGTCCCATTGGAGGGATTCCTTCTCCTTCTCTCCCTCCCCCTCCCTTTCTGGTGAGCACATAACCTCACCAGAGGTGAGGCAGATAAAAAAGAAAGAAAGTTAAGAGGACCTTAAGAATGTTATTTAGAAAAAGGAGGACGAACATCAGAAGAAACAAAAAGGGTCAAACATCCT